CCACTGAGGCTGTTGGTGGATAAATTTCATTGTTGATATATCTTTCAATTGAGAATGCTAAGACTGAAAAAATAGTCTAGGTTTTATAATTCTTTTTGTAAAACCAAATCTTATTCATTTTCTAATGAAATATTTACTATTTAGCAAAAAAAAAAGACTGAAAAAAAAATTGCAACATATATATAGCAACATAAGTGATGTCATTTATTTAAACATCAGGAAACTCATATAAACGTGGGTTCTTCACTTGACTGATACCATATCTACCTTGAAAACGCAATAACCTAGAGAGTTTAGAGGGTAGAACGAACTTATAACACAAAAGATTCTTCATTTAAAAAAATAAAAAAAGACACAAAAGATTCTTCAACCTAATCGTATACTGTATATGCAATTTCAAGTATACTACTTGAATTGCAACTGAAATCAACTAATCTCTCACATGTTTCCAAGATCAACACGATTTAGACGCACTAAAATCCATAAACACTCTGTTTTTGTTATTTTATACTCCAAAACCAGTTTGACCAAAATAAAATAAAAATACTCCAAAACCAGTAATCTTTGCTAAAAATTTTTTTTTTCTTAATTACTAACAATCTTGTAGCTAGATGACATATACTTATATACATAGATTCATCTACTCAATCCTATCAATTTCCTAAATCAAATACGAGTAGCGTGTCTGAACTAAACTCCTTTGTACCACGGCGTTATTGGTTGAGCAGTTTGGAGGAGCCTCCCTTGTAACAAAACATTTATTGAAACCATTGTCTGAATATTTCAATACGAGATATCAACACCTTCCCTTCGTAATGATTTTGCTTTCTCAGTAGCAGCCTCCATTGCGTTGCGGTATTAAACTCGATGGCCTCAACGGCAATGATTCTCAAAAACCTCTGCCATTGTGGCTGGAATACCCATATCAATAGTTCCTCGAGGACCCGTAAGGTCGTGGTATGTAATTATTTACTATCAAAATGTTAAACAAAACTTTCCATTCAAAATATCTAACTTTCCAATCAAAACATTTAGGCAAAGTAATTATTTGGGTCTCTTTCTCTTCGATGTTAAACCCTTGAGAAGCATTAGAAAAACGTAAAAAAGCAGTAGAAATTATCCCAATATTTTTTCAGAAGTGTTAAAAAGGATTCTGTTGTTGTTGGGTTAGACACTTGAAATCATTGGGATGACTTTAACCAAGAAATTCGTTTTTGGGTACTGTAATTAATTTTTGGGGATACATAGCTCTTCTTTTTACTCTTGATGCTTTTCGTTTACATTAAAAGAGCAAAATACACCGTACAAATCTTGTCTTATTTGTATATTTGTACATATACTTTTGGTCTTAGATCATTGTTAAAATCAGTGTGCGTTTTCTCGTGAAATTTCATTTGCAATTTTGATTAAAAGTGTGTTTCTTTTGTGTTACTAAGGTGTTATTCGTTTTCTTTTAGAAAGACTACGGTGTTATTCATGCTTCTTCTTTTTCTACGACAGGTGTTATTCATGTTATAGTCACATTTAATTTCCGTTTAAAGTTGATTATTTTAAATGACTTTATTTTTGTAATAAAGGTTTTTTCGTGTTTTCCGTTTACAAGTGAGTTTGAAGTTTATAAAAAATAGAAATTAACAGCAA